GAAATGAAAACACGAAAAAAACTGTCTGTTCTTATAATTTTGTCCACTGCTGTATAACATCGCTGAAGTTGATCATTAAAATCATATAATTTAGCCTTCTTCGCTATACACCTCGACTGATCGGCACATCAGTTTGTGTTATGTGATCTTTTTGTATGGTATGGTAACATTAATCAATATATTCATGGATGTTTTCGCTAACAGCTTACTTTTTTGTAAGAAACGAGGAAAAAGAGGCGGAGCAGGATGTCAGAACACTGGAAAACTCACGTCATTCATGCTCGTCCGATTTCGATGGATTTTTGGCACGTCGGTCGGTAGCACATCTGGCCGATCTTTTGCCTAACAAGTTCCAGTGTGATTCAATTGGGACCGGTTGAAAAATCAGCGATTTTCTAGAGAAAGTCGATCTGAATCCGGCGTAAGAAACACGCCGAAGCACTATGAAACCGCTCAGTTCCATAGTTTTTCAGCGTCTTTTCGATCCGTTTTTGACTGTTCCGGCGGCCGAAACGACAGACCCGAGATTGTATTATGAGCAAAGTAGACAGGTATACAGACATGGATTTATTCGAGATTTTTTGTTTCAAGATTTTCAATTTGAAATATCGAGACATATTCATGATTACCCGCCTCTTTTCTTTATTTCACTTGTGAGATAATTATTTCCCTACTCATTTGATAGAGAAGAGTCACAAGAGTTTGTAAATTAACAGTGACAATATTGCCTCCACAAGAGAAAACTGTCTGGCACTTTTCTATTTAACCGGATTTCAAAAAATCTTCTGATTTTTTTCCGAACTTTTTGGAAAAGTCTTCTGATTCTCTCCTGATTTTCTAGAACAAAAACCTACTAATCAACTCCTGATTTTTTAAAAAAATCTCCTGATTTCTAAAATTTGAATTTGGCAACCCTGGCCCACACCCACATCCGTCGTGGTAGCTTCTACACACCCACACTCTCATCCACGCCCACATCCACATCCACACTCACACCCACACCCAACTCACTCGCACCCGCAAGATAGTGTAGTCCTTTTGAATTGTATTTCGGTTTACTAAAATTTGTTCTTTATTTGCTGTCGTTGTTTGTTTGTTCTTCATACCGTATACTTCACTCTTGCCGTGAATAGTGCTTCTCAAGAAAGCGCTTGCTTGAGGGAAATTGAAAAAGAGAACGAAAAAAGGAGAGAGACAAGAAAAATAAGTAAAACTTTATTATGTTGCACAAGTAACACAAGTGTTCTTTCACAAACAAACGACACATTCTCCATATAGAACATTCATCCAAGTTGAAAATTATTTCTGTTGAAGATTTTTGAAAAATTTTATTTTAACTATTGTACCTGGGTGAGTAACTAACAAGTGTATTTTCTAAGGGCGTCTTTGTGCATTATAAACGCTATAAGTATAACAAATCTATGATTAGAATTTTAATTATAAAGAATGAAACAAAAATGAAATGGATATTCATCAAAGACTTCTGTTCATCTAATCGATTGATGATTTATTCTCAATGTAATCTATGGAATGTACACTTTCTACGTGTGTTCTATTTTATTTATGCGCTTCGGCGATTTTCGATGTCGAGATCGAACTATCAAAATAATGTCACTCACTATTTAATATGATAAGGGCTAAAGACAATTCTTTCATGCTTCGAAAGTTGGTTTATCAAGAAGAATGAGAGGATTATTAACGGCGAATGTGAAACCTTTGTATAATATAGAAATGCTTAGCATTGAAACCAAAACTCTTCCCAGTGTGAGTGGGAAAAAGAGTCGCGCCGAAAGCACACACATACTCACACTGCACACTCTCACATCCATACCCATACATCCACTTACACCCAGATCCCACACTTGCACATTCTCCAGACTGCACACTCACCCACACCAACACTTAAGACCCAAACGCAAACCCACATCCATATCCATACCAACACTTACATTTGCAGCCGTGTATAGTGTGTGAAAGAAAAGCATGAGGGTGAGGGTGAGGGTGTGGGTGTGGGTGTGTGTATGGATCTTCTATTTCCACACACCCAGAGCCCACACCCACACCAACACCTCACACCCCACACTCTCGCAAACTGGAAAAAAGAGAGTAGTAGAAAATTTCCTATATTTTTGAAAAGAAGTGCTTTTTTCAAAAATCGACATCCTTTAAGTATTTCGTATTTTCCAACAGGAAAGAAGCATTTGTTAAGGTAAAAAGTAGGTTTTTATGATCACCAGCTCTCACTCTATCAAATGATGAAAGAAAAATGGCAAAATAAAATTTTTACTTGAAGTTTGCATTGCTTGCACCTTATATGATTTATTAAATAAAACAGTTTTGAAGTAAAACAAATTAGTTACGTAGAAAGAAAAAAGCAAGAAGGCACGAAGAATTCTTCTTCCTTTTCTTCTTTTTGTTTCTCCGTTTCTCCTTTCCCTTTTCTGTTTCTCTCTGTTCCATTTTTCTGTTTTGAAATATAGGTAAGCTTTTTGTTCTCCCTTTCGCTTATTCGTTGCTTCTCAAGTTCTGCAAATTTTTACGCTTCTTTTTTCTTCTATTTTTTTGTTTTTGTCTTTTCTCTTTTATACCCATACAAGCCAAGGCAGTAGCGTCAATACCCTTCCCCTACAGCGTTTTTCATTTGTCTTTTTTTGGTTTAGACTTGTGTGAAGATATAAAATCACTGAGCCAAACCTGGGATATTTTTGATATTAACAAGAAACTGAATACTTGTGGAACGAGCGTCTATTATAGAAAATATCATGAAAATGAGTAGTATTTCAAGATTTTGACAATTGAAAGGCGATTTTGGTCATAAATAAGCATGATATTCGCAGTCAGCATACAAAAATACACCAGAAGCACTATTGCTCATCGTAAAAGTGTCTCATTCAGAATTCTATCTAGAGGAGTGTACAGGTTGGCGTTTTAGAATTAAATGGCTGAAGGGGAATACGGGTAAAATTTGGATGATGAGTGGGTGTGGGTGGATATGAGTGTAAGTGTAAGTTCTTGGTCTCTGTCTTCACCCACCCACCCACAGCCACACCCCACCCACCCACACCTACATCCACCCAAATCATATCAATTGCATTCTAGCAGTACTAGTGACGAAGTAAAGTACAGATGCATTTTAGGTAAGTTAGTCATAAGACATATGATGCTAGCCGGCTTATTGAAAATGAATCGTCAAAGACTATTGTACACGAAGACAGATTTGAACAAAAAATTTGTTTGGCATATTCTTTCAATCAAATAGTCCTGAGTGTAGATAAAGGCAAGACTGTAGATTACAAGTATTATATTGAATATTGTTAATGTAATATGAAACCAAAAAGAGACATTAGGTACAAAATGTACCAAACTGCTTGAAGACCATTCTTGACTTCATATTCATCCGTTGTTATTAATAATTTAACAGAATAAGACATTCATATAATATCGCAGCAGTCATATTCATCATATCTAATACTATTTAATCTTTAGTTAAGTGATTGTATTGAACGAAGTTTAATTGATTAAATAAATGACATATGACTAGTTCATGTGGTATCCAAAGTATCTAGAAGTTTTTTCGAAAAACGTTCAAAAAAACTTTTAATAAATTGCTAGAAATGATTCAACTTGATATAAATAATCATGGCAACTAGTCTCAACATTTGGTAAAATACAATTAAAAATATCTCATTATCTTTATATTTTTATTTAATGGTGAGAAAACTTTTGATCAACCATAAATATATCGAGCGAGGAACGTTCTTTTGTTGCGCCCGACATCAATAAATGTAGTATCGCAGGTTGCCGCGGGCAGTGAATGTAGCGTCGAGCGACAAACATCCTTTCCATCATCAGGCACAATCGACGTTACCAGCGTAAAACAGCGTATAGCATGGATTTACACGAAACCATACTTGTTAAATGATATTTGCCCTTATTTTCACCCACACAGTCGTGATATGATTGAACTTTTCCGGTATGCCTGTCTTTTGGATCTATAAAGAAACTTCTTTGTCCGACTCTGTGCTCGATCCATTAAAAAGATACTTAAGGAGAACCCAATATCATAACTAGCACTAAAACACAGCCTATGCTCCCGATGGTCAAGTAAAATTACCATCAGAGATAGAAAACCAACGGATTATCTTGTGTTCTACAACTAGCATCACGCTATGCCGCTTGAACTATGCTTTCAGGGTGTGAGTATCGGAGCGCCTAACTACGTTGTGGTATGATCAACCACACCAATGCCCCCACACCCGACACTTACACAGTCAATACCCCTCCATTCCATATGAGGAGGGTGGGTGTTGCTGTGTGTGAGAATGAGTATCGGATCGAATCTCACATTCAGATACATCAACACCCACACCCTAACACTGATTGATAAGTTATAACGATGGGGAGGAGCGGGATTAACCAGTGAGATCTAGGAGAAAAGCATATAAAGCAGTTTTATGCCAACTTGAGCTGTTATGGACTCAGGAACTGCTAGGAAATGTGTTCTGAAGTGCATCAAATACAGAGCTTCCCAGGATCTCACTAACAATAGGAATATCATGTTTCATATTTTTAATCTGGCAAGGGATTGCGCTAACTGCTTTTCAGAAGAGTCACTTCTTTTAGTTATCACGATATATACAATTTAGAACTCTCGAGCTTTTCCTTGGAAAAATTGTTGTCAAATACGTCACAAAACCTGAAGCAATAGGAGCAAGAAGGTGAATGTCCGTTGAAACCGATATTTGAGCCGCACCTATACTTATTCACAACCTCAGGTTTAGTACAGCTATCAGAGACTGGTTCTGTGGATCATATCTGCTTTCTTAAGTTTTTACCATTATTCGAAACACATGTCTAAACGTTCACAAGTAACAAACATCTTTGTCTATTGTAGAAATTCTTCACAAACTCAAAATTTTCAACATATACTCAATTTTCAAATTTTCAAGTGAAGGGACACGAACTAATTTCATATCCAAGAAAAAGTCGTCTGCTATTCAATGGATACAAATGAACAAGAACAATGGCACGGTGCCTCAACAGAAGTTACAAAAAGTGATAATGGATCCATGATCGCCGATCCTGCTACCTCCTCCCCACCACTCTTCGATGCATCACTCTCAGATTCAAGTCTTAGAAGATTAGTCAGTGAAGACGAAAACGGTTCACTCAGTCGTTCCAGTGACTCTGAACGCAGGGAAACCAATTCAATGATGCTCCCACCAACGTCGGAAGAACACCAATCCATATCTCACGGACTCATCGAAGAACTAGAACGTCAACTAAATGATGGTTTAAAAGAATGTGAACTCGATAATGTCGAAGAACTTTTGCAAGTGATAGCCAAGACAACAGATGAGATCACAGAGTTGAAGAGGAAAGGAAAACAGAAGACTACTGCCGAAAAAGAAGCTACTTTAGTTCCACTCCAGAAACTTCAATTGTTAGTGGAACAAATAAAAATTCTTAAAGCCTCTAATATTCAACGCCCAGCTATCGAACAACTAGAACGTCAACTAAATGATGGTTTAAAAGAATGTGAACTCGATAATGTCGAAGAACTTTTGCAAGTGATAGCCAAGACAACAGATGAGATCGCAGAGCTGAAGAGGAAAGGAAAACAGAAGACTGCTGCTGAAAAGGAAGCTACTTTAGTTCAACTCCAGAAACTTGAATCGTTAGTGAAAAGGTTGAAAGTATTGAAAGAAGCTGCTATTGAAACACAGGGTATGATGATACAAAATATGAACCAATAATGTGATTCAAGGGGGAGAGAGTTGTTGACTAAAACCGTCACTTAGTGGAAGTAGGTGTATCGCGTTCAGGCAGTCGGTTGTTTCCTTGATAAATGTGCAAAGAGATAAGTATATTCCGAACGTTTGAATCTCGTTGTAACTGGTGGAATATATGTCATGAGTCTGCGACCGGATTATTGTCTTATGAAAAGCCCATGTGCACGCTGTGACCTCTCTCTATAATTTTGGATTAAGACCTTTATTATTGCTTATAAGATCACTTCCAGCGATGAGTTGCAGTTCCTAAACACTTTTTCTAGATATTATGTTTAGTGTGGCTTTGCTTTGTTTTGCTTACCAGGAATGATTTTAATCAAAAAAGGAAGGCGAGAGATGGTGCGTATTCTATTATTCTTTTTGAAACGAAAAGATAGGTTTTTCAAGCAGAATCACGATATGGAGTGTTCTGAAGATTAGTATATCAGTTATTTTGTGTTCTCCCTTGCTGAATAGCTCAAATAACAATCACATACGGTCGAAGTTTATAACAACCGTGATCGATTATAATCTTCGCTGACGCTCAAATTTCCTTACGTTTTTTTAATGTTTGTAGACTGAAATCAAATTTTAAGCAGATGTTGAGTGGTCTTTCGCTATCGGAAACATCTGAGAACAATATGCTTAAACAGAAGAGCTGAGATCGAACTGTAGTTATCCGAACTAATCTGAAAACAGTCTCTTGAATTTCAAAAAACCATTGACGCTCTAGAAAGTTTTCTTTTTCAATAAACTAGTATTCTCCTGACTGAATATAAGTGTTAGTATTCATTATTTTTATTTTATGTTGACGGAAGGTGAAAAAATGGCAGTTCTTGGGCTTTGGTGTACTAAGTTTACTTCTGAGCTGCACCTATGATCCATTAATAAACGTGTTATCTGTGTGAATATGTCTATTAACCATTACTAAAGTACAGAGGTTGAACTTCTGTTTACCTAAGTCTACCAGTTGTTACTACCAACAAAAGCCTCTCATATATTGGACAATTTAAAACTGTGTGGAGCACAGTGAAATGCATAGACCCTGACGAATGATGGGCCCACTGATGTTGTATTCCAATTACTAAACTAGAAAGCTGGTAAATAGAAATACTAATATTGCTGAAGAGTTTGCAAGTAAACCCTCGAGAAAGCGCAGGAGTACAGCAAATTCTGCGGGAGTACAAGGATTCTCTCTTTTCTCCTAGCATATGGACACCCATGACCACGCCCAAACTCAATCAATGTCGATATCATGAAACACTTCAACATTGCCAAAGATCTTCTGCTTCTAAAATGGACAGGATGTGGATGTGGGTGTGTGTTGTTTTCACGCCCTCCCCCCACCCTCACACGTTACACTTAAACCCACACACCCACACCCTCTGATAAACTGACGTATGATCAACATCCTGTTTATTACCAAGAGGCTGATTTAATCTGGTAAAATAGTTCCACCATTTTTACCGGTAGGCCCGCAAAACCGATATACCGGTGGATCCGGTCGGAAATTTTCAGACCCGTGCCAGTGCCGATCGGAAAAAAGTAAATAGTTTCCATCTATGTCACACTCCAGAGCTAAATTCACTCGCACCATGCCACCACATATTGTGCAATATGATAAGTAATAATAATTTTCGTTTGTCTCTCCTATTTAGAATCAGCAACATTGACGAATCAGTCTGAAATGAATTCACAGGCACCAAGAGCTCAAACGCAAAATCAATCTTCGGAAAAAAGGGTAGGTTATCATTTGCCCTAAACTGATTTCCACAAATCAATCCCAAAAAAAATTCCCCATTTGGGGATTTTTATTTAGGAATTTTATAATTTAGGTTTTTTTAACATGAATTATATCATACATTCTATAGTTCCATACCATCCTTTTTCTCATTTCAGACAGTATTGCCAAAAATAAAGCTTTCAAAATTATATTTGTTGGAGGTATTTAGTTTGGATTCTAAACATAATAAAAACAGTTTTACGATGAATCTGGTAACCAGAATGTATTTTAAGTTACTACAAAGTCTTCTTTTTGAAAACTCAAAATATATTCTGGTCACCAAATTTGCCTAAAAATGTTGGTTGTAGTAATCAAAAATGCATTCTGGTTAGCAAATTCCTCGTAAAACTGTTTTTATTATGTTTAGAATTCAAACTAAATACCTCCAACAGATATAACTGTGAAAGTTTTATTTTTATTAATATAGTCTGGAATGAGGAAAAGGATGGTACGGAACTACAAAATGTATAATATATTTCATGACAAAAAATCCCTAAATTATAAAATCCCTATATCAAAATCCCCAAATGGGAATTTTTTTGGGGATTGATTTATGGAAACCAGTTCAGAGCAAATGATAAACATTCGAAAAAAAGAACGCTGCTAGAAACTGAAGCCTCGCCAACAACAGCAGGGCCGTTCGATTCAAAGACAAAATCAGATAAGGTTACTTGTGAAAATATCGAAGACATGACTTTGCAAGAGCATATAGAAAAGTCTTCAGAAGGCTTCAATAGAATGACTTTCGCTGAAAAAGAAAAACGATTGTATTTGAAAGACTTACGTCACGATTGCAGTATATGCCCGAATATGCTAAAACAACATCATTGAATCTTCTTCTATATTTTGAAGAAAAATTGCTAGGAGATTGTGCACTTTCTCACATATAAGACTTCGTAGTTTGTTGGTTAAATTTGTTGAAGGAGCAAGTAGAAAAGAAAGAACTATTTCCGGAGAAATTAGAGCGACTCTTCAGAATCTAGAGAGAGTGGTCAATGCAGCGAATTATTCGTCTGCAGTGATTAATCTTCACGATTTGTTAAAGTAAATTCGACCACTGAATATACCAGAGATACAGAGACTCGTGAAGAAGACAGAAGAAGTAGCCAGATTGATTGAGAAAAAAAGACATTATTCTTTTTGTGGGTGAAACTGGCAAAGAAAATCTACCACAATTTAGTTCATTGCATGTTGCAAGATGAAGAGAATCCGAGTAGAAATAACCGCTGGAGAGTTTTTAGAAGATATTTAAGCAATCGGTACTTCTATGAATCCTGAATTACGTAGGGTCATTAGCAGTCCATTGTGTGAATCTAAGACTCGATTTATTGCACCTGTTACTGTGTCGTTAAGAAAAGTATTCGGTGCACATGAAACTGAAGATATCATTCTATGCGACGCACCGGGAGTAGGTAATACAACAGGTCCGGAGATAGATGTTGCAAACGGTGTAGGAGTTATTGAAGCCTTGAAACAATTTAATAGTGTCAAGCTACTTGTTTTACACAGTTGTCGAAGTCTAGGTGATAGGGGACAAGGTATTCAAAAATTAGCACAATTATTGATCAAAATGGTGAATAACATAGAATATAAACTTGATAGTATTTTTTACACATTTACAAAATATCCTCCAGAAACGAACATCTATGGTCTGTTACTCAATATAAAAAAGTTAAAAGTAGATATGGATCTTACTTTACAAGATGGTAATACCTTTGTAAAAGTGTTATCTGACATGATTGTTAAAACGAAAGGCGGTGTTCATATAATAGATCATATTAAGGGTGATCGTGGAGTATTAATAGAACAGCTACGAGACCTACCGAGTATTAAGTCTCCAGGAGAAGTCTTTCGATACTCTATGAGCCAAGAAACGCAAGAAACTATTGAAAATCAAGTGAATAGAGACAAGTTCCATATAATGTGTGCATTAAAAAACAAAAGCATCGAGTTAGTGAATTATTATTTGAATAATTTAAAGACATTAACGTCTTTAATAAAGTTCAATTTTATTCACGGCGTTTATGAAGATTCAATACGCTTTGTAGCCGTCAATATTGATGGATATTGTACGGCAGTAAGCAGCAAATTTAGATTCGATGCGTTGTATTAGTTTTCGGGAAATTGAATTTGCTGTAAGGAGTTCTGTAACATACTTACACTGGGCATAATAAGCATAATGGGCAAAATGGGCACAATCAACGACCTTGTGAGATACTTTGTGAGCTTTTGTCGCTGAGACTCCATTTTTTAGTCCACACTGGTGCGACGTTGTATGAGTCATTTTTGGTGAAACTCCTTTCTCCGCACCCGCATCTGGTGTGATATGATGTCTGTCGTTTTTTTAGAATTCAAGCATTTTGAATACATGTAAGAGCTCAATACCTTTGATGATCATATTCAATACGACGGCTATGCCCATTATGCCCATTATGTCCATTATGTCCATGAATACCTTCAAGGGAAACTGAATGCCTGTTCCGAAAACCAAAATCAATTTCCGGAAATTGATTAATGTCGGAAAAATAAAGAGTTTCCTGGAAACTTATATAACGCATCTATGTTTTTCTACACGTGGTTCTTACCAATAATCGTTGGAACATTTCATCTCATCACAATATATATGTATTGATTGCGGTGAAGGAAGGTCATTTGATTGATTAAAATTAAGGTAAAATACTCTTCCTAATAATCAGATAAATTTATAATTAATTCACTTTAAATTTTTCTTTTTTATTTTATTTTATTTTACTTTTAACTTTAATTATCTTATTTAATAATGTTTATATATTTATTTCAAGTANCAGAATCCTATACTTGAATAAAGATAACTCAAGAAATAAAAAAAATCACTCTAAGTTACTATTTGTATAGAATACACATATAGAAAAAAAATGCGTATTCAACAATACCCGAAAAGAAAATGTTTCATCATCATTGGTATATAGTAGGTTGTATTGATAATGATGATGTTTCCAACTCATGAATTTTCATAGAAAATAGTGAAACAGACAAGATTTTAGTACAACTATTTCGATGTTCCTTTAAAAATGTTGTTCTACATTTGCAGAATATAGAAAAGTTTGATTACATTTCAAGTAGCTTACACATCCAAAGATCGTTTTATAGTCACTATTTTCATCTAGTTTAGTTAAAAATTCAAAAATGTTCCACTAAGATAATAATACTCTTCATGATTATGTATTTTCCATTTTCTGTGAAAAGTAAAGCTGTATTTTACTGAGTTCACAGACTCTTCAGATGCAGAACATAGATCTACTCAACCTAAATATGATTTTGCTAAAAATCTGGTAAAGATATAAAAAACAAATAAATGTAAACTAAAACTCAACTCGAGCACCAATGAACAAGTAGCAATCTGCAAGTTTTGCTCATTCTTGTCTTATCTTACGTGTCTGATTTGTAATTCTTGTCGAACGATGCTATAATTAGCACGCATTATCATCATAAATGTGACACCCATCATTTCTAGTTAGTGTAAGATGTAATCGTTGATGATAAATATTATAAAAACTGTAAAAGAAAAAGCTTCTTTGACACAAAGGATCATTATGTCACATCTATCCTCTCCTGCTGATTGGCAATACAGAATAGGATACATGAAGAGCGCACTGTTGTATCCTTATCTCTTGTAAGAACTCTTAGAAAGTGAATTATCTTTTATTCTGACCCAGCAACATAAAAAATGGCAAAGATAAAGCAAAATAGATTGAGATTGTTCATATCACGTGTCTATTTCTTCGATTGTCTTTAAAAGTTCTGTGTATGCGAAACTGAACGTCAGAATGATTTGAAGTAGAGTAGAGAGAACTATAATGTGTAGTTTTGACTCGATTACTTGCACTCAGAACAAATATAAAAATAGTATAGATGGCAAATCTGTAAGGATGATGATGAAAACTGAGATTTCATTCTAGATTGAGAGTATAGATGGTGGGTAGTGGGGAAGTGGGGTGGGGGGATGTGACTGAAGGTGAAGAGAACATTTACAGTTATAACTACATCCACATTCACACCCTTGAATTTCTCTTTGTATCCATAAGGGGAAACTTACCATGATGTCAGAAGCATAAGTCTTAATAGTCGAATTGTAGAGAGTCCTGACTGAAGGTCGTGTCATCTCAGTTTAATTCTTGTATACGGCTTGTAAAAATTATTGTCATTTGCTTTCTTTTTTCAGACTACAAAAATTTTACTCAATAATTCTTATGTTTCATCGTATGGCTAATTGTAATTACGTCAGCACAAAACTTTGGCATATAAGTGTAATTGAGCGAGATGAGCGGAACAGCAAATACTGTATGCATTTAAATAAATAGCTTAAAATGAGCTTCAATGATTGAAATTTATCATGATTCGATTTTATTTTTTATTCTCTTCGAAAATTAATCCAAAAGAAAAAGGAAAATTAATTATAATTCTGCAAACTTTGTTTTAAGAAATATCATTGAATAAAAGAAAATGATTTTCAATATGTAAATTAATAATGAATATTGTTTTTTGTTTTGAAAGATATTCTTAGTCTAATGACACATTTGAGCATTTTGATTTTCATTGGTATATATATAACTGAAAAAGATAGAGCGAACTGTTCTTCATTGTGAGTAAACAATAAACTATGTCAAAACAAAAAAATCCTTTCAGAATTTTTTATTCGAAGTATTCATGTGCGATCAATTCATCAGATTTTCATCATGAAAAGTCAGCACTGTCATTAGTCTTCTCCTTAATAAAATTTTGTCAATTTTAATAGAAAAGAATTCTTTTGATTCATTTCGACAATCATTTGTGAGTCTCTTCAATAAAAAATGTTCACTTTTTTTGTTTAAATCGATAAAATGGATCATTTGCTCTTCGATGCTTCATAGAACGAGTCGATGATGATTACCTGATATAGCGAGACACTTATCTCCATAGAAATATCGATCGGTTAAATGAATATTCAAAACAAAAAATATCTGAAAAACTTCTCAGTACGGTTTCTGCAAGGTCTAAAGTATGAAACTCGCCAACTTGGACTTTATATATTTATGGTGTATGATCAAAGTTATTAACATAATTTATGTTTAAAAAAGTGTCAAATAAATGAACAAATCAAATGTCTAGCAATTTTTTATTGTCAACAGACATGCTCTGAAAAATTATCATTTCTTAAATATTTACATTTATAATTATTTTGGCATCTCATTTATTTGATTCATTGAAAATCATTGCACTGTAAAAAAAAATTATTTGCACTGTCAGATACACTTACAATACATACAAGGCATTCAATATAATTTTATTTTATGCTTTGTCGATTCAAGTATCTATATTAGTCTGCTATACATATTGCTTATATCGCTCATTAAGCTGCCGTACACAATACCCTTTATTTCGTGGAAAATAGACATATGCTATTAAGTTTTATCTAAAATAAAAATTCAATCGGCTTAGGTTTCACTTTGTCTGTCCAATTCTGACTCTTTTACATCAAAAGTATGAGTATCATATTGATTAAAAACGACAATAAGATTCTTTCACTCCATGGAAAATGCTGAATTGCAATATTTAGACTAAAACAGTTGCAATCTACGAAGTCTCAGAATGATCTATACACTCATATGGCTGAAAAGCCATTCTGCGTTGCTATAAAACATATTTAATGATATCTACCTTCCTCATTCCACAGTCACTAGTGCATAAAGGGTGAGAAAGGGACCGACAAAACCCTGATTCACGCATACATTCACTTTTTTCTTCGAAAATATGTGTAAATACCACAAAAGGGAATAATCGCCATGTTATTGATGCATACTATTTTCTGTCTACAGGTATCTTTTATTGAGATTGCAGTATATAAAAATCCATTAGTAAACAATGACTACTTTTATCGTACGTATTTGTAGGTCGATGGATGATGGTCTTCTTGTCGATTGTATTCGTCCTATACTCATACAGCCACTCATCCCGTCTGATAATACCACTAGTCATGACCTGCTTGGCTTTTTCTTGATATAGTGAATACACCATATAATGCTACTTTGATCATACAGTGGTTCATTCCTGGGATAAAATACATATTCTATCTATTCTGTCTCATTGTGTGCAATTGTATATTTCAATTTTCTCGCTATACGTTTTCAAAAAATAGTCTATCCAAAGTAGCTATCACGAAAATATGTATTATAATTCTGTTTTTCCATTTATTTTTCAATACTGTTATAAACAAAATGTAGAAATAATTTAATTTCCTCTGAAAAGTACACGAACTCATCTTAAATAATAGTCTTTTTATTTCACAATATTATAATTAAATAATAATATTTTGCTCAGACTTCGTGTTATCATGAAAAGGGTGTGGGTGTGGGTGTGGGTGGGTGTCAGCGAATCTTCTGTTTCTTCCCTCATCCACACCACACCCAAAGCACACCCACACTCACATGCACACACTCACATCCACACCCTCGTAGTATTGCAACCTTTCAGAGCAGCATTGGGCGAATTTCCTTACGACAAAATCGTGCTGAGGAAGCTCTTAGATACCAGTTGAAGGTCCTCGAAATACGGAAAAATACATGCCATCCAATCATCCAACAATTGCCTTTAGTCTCCCAGACATTGGTAATATATACCAGCGCTGGAGATCCAGATCAAGCTCTCAAATACAAGTCTCAAGAGCTCAACATTAGACAGCAGATTTTACCACCTGATCATCCCTGCATCACACTGAGTCTTCAAAAAGTCAGAGAACTTCATCTAGAGTTACAAAATTTCGACTTAGCTCTTGGATATCTTGAAAACTCGCTTAAGATAAGTGACAAGTCTGCATTCCTCTGTAATAATATGAATAAAAAGCAGATCTTTCACAATATTGCGAAGATTTTCGAAGCCAAAGGCGAATATCGAGAAGAACTGGAATATAAGTTGAAAGCGATGGATTTTCAACAGAAGATTCATCGAGTAGACTGGGCTTTATCGCGCAGTCTAGACGACGTCTTCATCAGATAGGGTGTGGATGTGGGTGTGCGGGTGTGGGTGGATGTGGGTGCGGGTGTGGAGTTTGGGCTTGGATATTAGTATTTCTTTTCTCCACCCACACCCACACCCACACCCACACCCTTCGTAGTTTTGTATGCTATATTTAGCCTCTTTGATCAGAGTTTATGAAGACCAACATTGGCCTTTTTTTCTTCCACATCTAAGAAGAATTCGCTATTGCTGAGGGAAATAGGGGACAGCTTCAAACCACCATCAAAACTACTTACCGATATTTTTAATCCTCTTCTGCAGAGTATCATGATTGACGATTCGTTGAATTTTTTGCTGCCGCTGGTGATCGAGTAATGTGATGACGAACTGATAGTTATCTGGTTCAATGATACGCCATAAAAATGGATTAGTCACAGTTCTTGCCCACAGTGTTAGATCTCGACTGTACGTTGTATCACCTCCCACAGCCTCTAAGTTTATGAAGGAAGTTTGTTCCAATGATTTTTTCTTGCGATTGTTTCTCATATCCACCGCCCGCATAAACTTCGGCTGGTTGCATAAACGAAGCAGAGAAGGATGCACTAGCACTCAGTCGTTTTTTCGCTTCTTCCGCCTGTTCTTTATTGTCATGCATCTCTGTATGGTAGAGATATCCACTGAGAATAACTAAGCGTGGATAAACATGACCATATGTTGAAAGAACTTCCTTCAATTTAGTAACTTGTTCATCCAATGTAAAAGAAAAAACACTATCGATGGCTTCTATAAACTGAGACGTTCGTTCGAGATAAGATAAATCAAGTTCTACAGCAACACGTGGAAAGTTAAAACAATGCCTTAAGCATATCTTTTTCTGTATTTTTGTTATAGTTTTACTCGTTGAATATTCAGCATTGACACCAATACCAACAAAGGGAGTGGAAAATTCCACACCGCCATCAAAAAATTTACTGGAAAGAAATGAACTGTGCATTTCTTTATCTTTCAGGTATGATTTAATATGTGATTCGTCAGTAACATGGAACAGCGAAAACTCATCAATAGATTCTCTGAGTTTGAACACGGTTTTGAAAGCGCGTATGGGTGTTTCTTGATCCATTCGAATAGCTTGGAAAAGATTACAATTACGAACTATTCTTTTTCATGTATTCAGATCTAGATCAGTATCTACGGTAACCTCATTTGGTGAAGATGCCAGTGTCGAACTAGGTATTGTTAATTCAAGTAAAGGAGCTTTACTTAAATGACTGAGTGATTGAGCGTACGCGAGATCGGTTTTTCTTTCAAATGCCTTGCTGCTCATTTCTGGAATTGGTAGTGGAGTTGTTTTACTTTTATCACTTGTTAACCGAACAAAATGGTTTTCAGTTAATAATGCTGAGATGGTCACTAATTTTTCGTCTTCAGGAAATAAAATACAACCTTCAGCATCAAGAAAACGAGTACTGCTTGACAGTTTGTATCGTTTTGAAAGAATGGTACGCAGTTCGGCAACTGTGCTTGAATTAACGGCTGCCAGACGATATTTTTCTCCGTCGATATCAATACGAACCAACGTTTCTTTGCTAGAGAGCTCATTTGAAGCCATTACACTAGAGCAGGGTTGCCGCTTCTCAACCCTAAAAAAACAGAAAATCACCTCCAAAAAAAAAATAGAAAATGACAGCAGTTTTATTGTCAAAAAGCAGAAAGTTTTTTGTAAAAGCAGACTATCGTTTAAGCTTTGTTTTAATTTGATAATATGGAGGTTCCATGGTAAAACAGGTTAATATTCTTTCAAAAATAGTTCATATTCGACTACTTTTTAACTATTGTTTACTGAACACTCGTTTTTTCAACTTTGTTTTGTTTTAATTTATCTCCTGATAATGATATTTCCGATTCATCTTTTTATTTTAATATTTTAGTATCTTTGTCTTCACGAATCGGGATGTCGTTAGTATCATGAGTCATTTTATCCGTTTCCATACAGGTGTTATTACTGATAAATTTGTTTATCCTCGCAAACAACGCACAAAGATTACATATATTAATTTGTATGACTCGGATGATTAGTAGAAAATACGACAGAAAGAAATACATAGATGAAGACCGAAGTCTGAACGAAAAATATAGATTGGTAGTTTGTATTCGTCAGCGGAAAGCAGAGAGTATCCTGATATTATCTCATGATATATAAGGGTGATGGGAAAATATCAGTGAATATTAACAAGAATTTTTCTAATTTTTTGAAATAATGGTCCAGTAGTATCAAATGTCTCACTTAAGAATATAAGAGACAGCATGACTGAAAAAGTAGAAGAGATAGCAATCCTGCAGAAGAATCATAAGGATATCTATCACCTTTTGATAAACATAAAATAGAAACTGCGCTCACTTTGACCATGTTTAAGAAGGTGTAATTTGACTCAATAGAAAAAAAAATTCGTTGACAATAATGATTCATATGTTTGGCAAACAATGCAAGTGGGTGAGAGTGAAGACGAGGGTGAGGATGATGGTGAGAGTGGGTCGGGTGCTGTCAATGAGTCTCACCCTCATCACCCACACTTCGACTTTCCACTCAGTGATGAATTACGTTCTTTTTTATTTTACTAACAAACCATTTCATGTTCTAACGTCTGACTTGCCCTAATCTAGCAGAGAATATCTGATGTTGATCTAGTTATACAATTAGAGTAGATGAATAAGGGACGATCAGTGTATGAAACAGAACTTGAAAATATTTATGACAATCAATTCACTAAGGCTATAGAAGATCATACGTAAGCAGTAGTATCTTATTTCTTGACAGCATGTACAAATCACAAATTCCATCGTGAGACAAGCTGCATCAGATTCTCCAACATCTCTATGCAGTCACCGATTCACATGTGATGCTGCAAAGGACGATTATTAAAAACTATATCAATTTACAACATGTTTTCTAATTTTCCAATAAAGATTTTCGATTCTACCATGATTTAGAGTGTGCCGTTCAAAAGAAAAATATTTATCGCTGCTGGTGAGCGAAGAAAATTTTCCATTAGCAGCGATGAATATTTACTTATTTAGTTCTCGAACATGCGAAAGCATGTTGGAAAGCAGAGATGGGCAGCTCCGACCGTTTCTCGCTCCAGCTCTGCTATAGCAAAATTTTTTTTTCTAGTTTTCTGATATTTTAAAGATATTTAGTGAACTTCATGTTTTAGTTCTGTATGTATATGATGAATATACGCAGACAATACAGAAAAAAGAGTATCAATATGTTTAAGAAAAAATAATAATTAAATGATTTGAGAAAAAAAATCCATCAACTTGTTTGAGAGGAAAAGCAGCTGTCGACGTATTTAACAAAAAAGCAATCATCTTGAGGGTGGGTGTGGGTGTCAGTAATCGAAACCAAATAGAACACACCCACACCCTCAAGAAGATCGATCACTTTTGAAATTTACTTGTTTACAAAATATTAGAATTATTTATGGATACTTTCTAAGCTATAATTCATTCAAAAATAACTAATTTGTTTCAGTTTTATTGTAGAAATAAAAATGTTTAGGAACAATTTTCAACGGTATCATTTCTTACATACAAGTATTATTATTTTCTTTGTTATAAATTATTATTACATTAGACACAAAAAAAAATTGTTAACTGTAATATTTTGAAAAATTCTTTGAAATTAAACAATAATATCAGTAAATATCTGTTTATTTATTAGTATCATGTTTTTCCAACATAATACGTTTATAATTTGAAGACATGAATTTCTTGTGAGAAAATGCGATTACGCGTAGCATTAGGTTAGTACACGGGACTTAAAGATTTCTCGGACATAATGCAACAGANCCATAATCGGCCCGAATAACACTATGTTTTGTCCTTACAATAGTGGAGAAAACCTTCCCTGATTCATTTTTATACCTAAATTTCACATTTCATAACTCCTGCTAGAAGCAACTTGGGCACGAACTAACTTAGGGTATATCACTCCTAGCTATGCCCTATCTAACCATCATATCCCCGACTGAAAAGCTTTTTGACACCTCGGGTGGTTCCCTCGTTAGTGATGTTTTCTACTAATATGTGTTACTGTAATTGCAGGTTGCTTCTGAGCCAACCACTGTACCAATTACACCAATGGCTCAGTTTGAGCAAGCACTTCGCAGTAAGTGTTAAGATGAGCTCATGTGTTTGCAAGAAATCCATGGAAATAGCTACTCTCAAAAACATCTCTCGCGTAATAGTGAAGTGAAAAAACCAATCGAAAGATATTCAGACAAAGCATGCTGTCGCATACGATAATTTTAATGATTGCCTATTGATCAATTGTTCGAAAATAACCGTGGAACCGATAACCGTTACATGTAGACGTTCTTCAAAGGCTATAAACCGAGAAAATCCAGCTGACGACCCAAATAGCTGTTAGTGCTTTATAAAGCGATCCTTGCAGGCGACTACCATTTTTGACAGTTTATTCGATTAATGGAGCATGATATATCAGGAAATAGACTTTTTTCGGAAGACATATGTCTAAAACAAAATATCCATCGGATAGCGTTGATAGCTTTTTTTCGCACAGTCTAAGACCGTTACTTTCACCAATATTGGTGAGTTTATATTTTGCGAACAAAACCGTAACAATAATGAATACTATATGAAAGAGAAAAATGGTCAAACTCACTTTATATGTGAGAGAATTATACAAAGCTTCCTTTGGAAAAGATTTGTGGGATACTCTGTATTAAAATAGGGATGTGCTGTTCGAACATAAATACTGAAATAGTGACACTGACTTTGCTGACTGTCGATCTACTGAGCATTTACTACAGTGACTTGATGTCACTGAGACACTAACTAAATTGACATTGATAGTCACTAAAACAGTTAAGCTCACTGCAACACTGACGTTCAGCGAATACGGACTGCACTGATATCGACGCTCAGTGAAACACCGATTCTGACAGAGTATACAGCTTTGGTACTTTTATTTAGAATGGGTGTGAGTAGGTATGTTAGTGATTGTAGGTGTTGGAATTGATAAGACGCGCTCACACCCAATGTGTTATATCCTTATTTTCGTACGCGAATATTTGTAACTTCACGAATAATAAAAATTTTTGTTCGAACATGAGAGGTATACATATGTGAAGAAGCAAGACAAAAACGAAGTTGAATACTCTCTTTTCTCTTATCCAACAGCATGATATGATGCATCGACCGAGAAGATAAAAAGAAAATGATGCTAAAGATAATGGGATTCACTCTCCAGCAAGGCACGCCAAAAATTAAATGGAAAAATGAATCAACGAAATGATCGAAAGGCAACTACAAGAAAAAAAAAGGGAAACAATTAAACTTGTACGCTCTCATGCAATAAAAATATGCCATGCATTGATATTTCCGTCTCAATGGCGTCTTATTATTTTATTTATATATATATTGTAGTCAATGAAAACCAGCATCCATCCCTCAATGTTTCCGTAAAAGCCGATATCAGCATAGTCAGTGTTGGCTAATCGTCAAATGTTCCAGCTAGCTTCAGTATTTCAGTGGCAACAATGCAGTGTATTAAGTGTTAAATAGGCACACTGTCGGTGATGAATAAACTGAATCCACACATCTCTACATAAAAGGAGGCAAAAATGACAGAGAATAAATAGCACTGTTTATAAATCCCTTGCATTTTGTGCATCTCTTGGCATAATGTTGTCTCACCATAAACATGGTCTACTCTTTCACTCGACTACA